TTGCGATCCTGTTGCCGGTCCCGGTCCGGTGCGGGAGCAACACCGAGGGTTGCGATCCTGTTGCCGGTCCCGGTCCGGTACGGGCACGACACTGAGGGTTGCGATCCGTTGCCGGTCACGAAAAAAGACAAAAAGGAAAAAAATAAAAATTAAAAAAAAAAAAAAAACTATTAGGGAGGGGAAAAGGCATGCAGCAATCCTTTAGCCTAGTTCCAAGTTTGAGATAAGGTATTTTCACATTAAGGGCATTTTCAATGATGACCATTATGATTTTTACCAGAAACCTTCTTTTGTAGGAATGTTGGACCTGCCTCTGCTCTCTGGTTTCTTGGGCAAGAACTAGAATGTTTGAGCTATTCACTGGGATAGAACACAGAAGCCGGTTAAAAACATTTTTTAGACAAATTGATCTTGAATGTGTATCAAGGTTGATTGCTAGCAAGATAATCGGAGAGTGTGTGAAAAAGAGAATTTATTATAGTTGAGGTTTACATCAACAGCTAATTAGGAAAAAAAAAGCAGTTGTAAGTTAGTGAATGCAGGACATAAAAACCTGCACTCATTTATATCGGTTATCTTAGAAAAAAATCTAAAGCAGAATACTGGGAAATGCCAGAGTTGAAGCCTATCAACAGGAATACAAACGCCATTCATTTAAGAAGCAAATGATAATGATGCATCCGGGGCTGCTAATTGGAATAGCAACGTTTCACTCTCCAGTGGGAGTTCCTAGAGATTCCACTTCACCTAGAAAGCTGCAAACCCACTGAACCGAGGCCAGGGCAGAGAACCCAAGAGACAAGTTCTGATTTTGAACAGCAGCTGCCAGTGCACTTCTCAGACTGCAAACTAGATGCAGAAACGTGGTTTGCCCATTTCTTAGGGACATTTTCCCCCTCTGTTAAGGCAGAGCAGGTTATTATTGTTGTCAAGCTAAGGGGTGAGTTAATTTTGGAGTGTTGAGAGACCCGTGGAATATCTGGGTCCAGTAGAAAGGTGGATATGTTACCAGGGCACCCCACAGTAAAACTATAGAGGAATGCCAAAGTGCTAAGGCAGAGCAGGTTATTATTGTTGTCAAGCTAAGGGGTGAGTTAATTTTGGAGTGTTGAGAGGCCCGTGGGATATCTGGGTCCAGTAGAAAGGTGGATATGTTACCAGGGCACCCCACAGTAAAACTATAGAGGAATGCCAAAGTGCTATTTTTTTTTTCCTTTTAAGCTGCGTTTGAAAGCTGCCAATAACCGCTCTATGGCCACGGTAAAAAGGGGGAACGCAGTGTTTGCTTACGGGAAATGAAGGTCGATGCCCACCACAACTGTCGAGAGAGCAAACACAGTCACCAAAGCAACCATTGTCGTCGGCAGCTGTGTTTGCCTATAGGAAACAAAGACTGGTATTGAAGGCACATCTGTCGCCAAGGCAACCAGCAGTGCTGGCGCCAGGAGAGGTGGAGAGCGCATGCTCCGAACCTGTACCAGAGGTGCTCTTTCCCCAATTATGCTTTAAAAACCCAAGCCTACCCCCGCCTGGGGAGAGAGTATGAGCTGCCAGAGCATGGGCTTCCACCTCTGCACACCCTGATCACGGAATAAAGCCGCTGTTTTGCCGAACCGAACGTGGTTTCGCGCCACTGGCTTGAGCGACGCCGAGAAGGGAGATCCTGTTTGGGAAACCGGAAACAGAGAGACAGATCCTGAGCTTAAGCGACATAGGCTGCAAATATAGCATTCTGAAAATTATTACAAAAAGGAGGACATACATTATGATTTACAGCTGAATGTAAGCGTCATGAAGGACTGTTGTATCTGTTTTGTTCACGCTCTATGCCCAGTACCTAGAATAGTGACAGCACATAACAGATGCTCCAAACTTAGTTTCAGAATGAACTTTTTAGAAGCCAGAGTTCGACACACATCGCACACAGATTTAACGTTCCCTTATTTTCCAAGCGACGTAAGGGCGCCCTTTGGTCCCGCACTTCCTGCCCCTTTAAGAAAGTGTAGGAAGGAAGAAAGCGCTGCTGGGAAAGAGGGCGGGGCGGAGGCCGCGTGTGTCTCCGCCTCCCCTCCCGCCCCGCGCCATTCACGGTCTAGGGAAGCGGGACCGACCCGCGGTTGCAAAGAATGCACGAAAAGAGTCGCGAGGGCGAGTGGCGCACGTGCCCTGTGCTTTACTTCCGGGTGTGGTGTCAGCAAAGCCAGGTAAGGAGACAAGGAGGACTGTGCCTGCCCCGTAAGTTCGACTCCTATCCTCCTTTGGAGGATAGACGTGGTCACAAACACGTTTTGGAATTTAGCCCTTTTTATCCCGTCATCTTTCCTTATCAATTAGTATATGTACTAAGTATCCACCACATAATCACATACTTCATAACCGATGCCTCATTGGTGCTGCGGTGGAAGGGAGAAGCATCCCTCTAGATGGCATAATGTCCACATCCAAGATAATCTCATATTTGTTCTGCTTTATTTTTAAATTTGAGGCTTTTTAAGATTTTAGGGATAACCCGATGATGGTTAAGAGAATTAGTCTAATAAGATGTCAGGCCCTTAGAGACCCCTGGGATCCCCAGGGCATAAACGTGGGGTAACTAACACCCACTGAAATTCTATCCTAAGCTCACAGACTAGAGAGCTGACATGCATTTTGGCCTGCCCTGTGTTTTGATGTTTGAATGAATTGCCAGGGTTTAAAAGTGGGAGCTAATGCATAAATATCTGTATTTCTGGATTATTTTGAGAAATTGAAAGATCTGGCCACACATTCCTGCCTGGCCTCTTTGGACTGTTTAGAAACAATCTCCAGTTTGCCAGTGCCCTTCTGTCACGCTACAACCAGCCTGCGTCACTCACTTATCACATCTGGCCCCTTGTGGGCATCACCCTACTCTAAATACTTGGGTGGATATAACACTATTTAAAACATTTATGCAGAACAGATCAGAGTCCCAAACAACTGGGTGTATAATTTGCGTTTAAGTTACTATTTCATATTCCGACTTACTCTTATCAACATGTTTTTCTATTGGAACAAATCTTTTCAGTCCGAGCCTAGTAAAAGTCAAATCACCAGAAATATTTACAGAAAGAGGTTTGCGAGTTGATATTCTTTTATTACAATTAAGTCCATAAAGGTTTTTTTAAAAGGGAAAAGTTTGAATATCGATTGCATTGTTTTGTGATACAATAATCTTTAATGAAAGTGTAGACAGTATAATTTGTATACGTCTGCCCACAGGCAGTTACAATTTGTTAAGCTCCACAACTCTTGGCTAGACTTCATAAAGGCAAAAGCTGTGTTTGCCTTGTTAACTGTTCTATCCCATCATTAGAATATAAGTTTCCTGAAGACTTGGGACTTTTATTTTGTTCACAGTTGCCAAGCATGCCTGCTTAAAGTTAAGTGATTCGTTAAATGTATTAAAGAACTTTAAAGGTGTACCTTATTTTATGTAACAGGCATTTTCCTGAGGATTCTCTTGAAATCAAATGCTTATTGTATATGTGTCGTTCTATATTATTAAAAGGATTATATTGTAAAAGATACTTTTTTATTTTTTGGCAGCTGTCTTGTTCAGGGATCTGAACCCTTGACCTTGGTGTTACCAATACATACTCTAACCAACTGAGCTAACTGGTCAGCCCTGAAAGGAATTCTTTTAAAAGATTGGATTTTCCCAAATTGATGCACCAAAACTTTCATCTGAAATGAACTTGCACGTGTGAATGGTTAAATACAAAACTTATACTGTAATATTTTCTTATTATGTAATAGGATCTGGAAAAGTTGGTCAGCCTTAGAATTTTCAGTATTATTTTTGTTTTTAGAAATCAGAGATTCCAGCTGAGATCAAGTCCGGAGACAAACCCTTGTTTTTTCCCCTTGAGGAGCAGCCCTTATCAACAGCAACACTGACAGAACTTGTGTTTTGGAAAAGGACTGATGGCTTTGAGCCTAGGTTGGAAAGTTCCCAGGAATTGCTATGGTCTCCTTCAGAAGGCTGCAAGAAGCAGTGGTTTTCCTGTGTTTCCCTGGGGCCACTGTTCCTGGACAGGAGCTGGAAGCTTTTTGGACCCTGAGATAAAAGTTTTCCTGGAGGAGAACACTGAAGTTACCAGCAGTGGCAGCCTCACACCTGAAATCCAGTTGCGACTTTTGACCCCCAGATGCAAGTTCTGGTGGGAAAGAGCTGACCTGTGGCCCCACGGTGATCCTTACTGGGCAATCTACTGGCCAGGAGGCCAAGCCCTGTCTAGGTACTGCCCTATCGAAATGGGAACCATTAAGGCTATTAAGATTCTTTCTCTTTTCAGCACCCTCCAACTCCACATTCTCCTGCACACCAAAAAACCAGAGCAAAGCCCCCAAATCTTGTTTTCTTATTTAGAGCAGTTTAGCCATATTTTTTGGTTGCTTTGTTGCATAGTTTTACCTTCTAACCCAAGGTATTTCCTCAAATACTCATATAGCTCTCTCCCCAAGAGAAATCCCAGGGTCACCTGTTAAGACCCTAGATAGCTATAAATGATCCAGAAATTTCACACTGTTCTCAGGTTTATGGTTTGTAGCATATGACCAGTGCAGATTTCCTAGTTGGAACCTAAAGACCAGGTCATCCAGGTCTCCTTTAATCCTGTTAATGTTGCTTCTTAAACCTCACACTCCCTCCATAGTTGCCTCTTCTCCCATAGAACAAGAGATGTGAGTGGGCTGTTCAAAGATTCCATCTTCTCTAGTGGCTTATTGACAACTCAGGCAAACTTTGGACTTGAATATGCATTATTAAGGCCCCCTACTTCCGACTCTTAATATTGCAGAGGTCTTCTTAGGGCATTTTCTCACATAGTCACACTTGCTTTTTATTAAAACACAGCTGCTGAAACAAAAGCAAGAGCTTTTAGCATTTCGATCTAGTCTTTGCTCTGGGATTGGTAAATGATATAATCTGTTTACATCTTGAGGTTTATAAAGCTGTGAAACAAAAAGGATGACCAGGTCTTCTGTTTTACAGGAATGGTATGGCCTACAGAATTAATGTTGTATGTAATTTTAAATGCAAAGTATATAAATGCAAACACAGACCTTTTTGGGGGAAATCCAAGGACTGGAAGCTTTCCAGATGGTACCAAACAATTCCAATTTTCTGGTTGTTGTGTTGCCAGATTTTCAAACCTTATTTACTTACATCATATTTTTAAAATGTTGACATTTTAAGCAATGTCTATTAAAGTAATTGTTTACCAACTCAAAATATAATCAACTTCCTTAAGAGACTAAATCAGAGATCATAAACTGGACCCATAAGTGTGTTTTGTTTGGCCTATACTTGTAAATTTTTAAAAAATTACTTGCTAACATTTAAAACTTGAGAGATTTCATGTAAAAATCTACTTTTTTAGAAAACCAGGAATATCTGATAGCACTAGAATTCTGTATGGTTACAATTAGCTAAAGATGGGTAGCAGCTATCCCTTTAGACAGGGCATGAACACCCCTACTTTGCCACAGTCCCCACTATTTTTTGTTACTCCAATCTTAAGCTCAAGTGTTAGTTGGCATTTATTATTTAATTGTTTCCGTATCCGTCTTCACTTGTTTGGTAACTACTTACCCTGGGCCAAATTCCTTGGTTAAGCTGGACTTTGTGCCTTACCAGAAAGGTCATTACAATACAATCTAAGCAGCAGGTAAAATCATTCCATGATGAATAATCCAAAGGAGACAGTGAATTTTGGATGTAGTTGACTTAGTCTTGATTATAGCAGTATTTGATCAGTCTTAACTCTTGGTGCTTATTAGTTTCTGTGTTATTTTTTTGGTGGCTGGCTGGAATGCAGATCCCAACCCTTGACCTTGTTGTTATAACACCATGCTCTAACCAACTGAGCTAACCAGCCAGCCCAAGCTTCTGGATCACAGTAAGTGCTCAATACTTTTTTTTTTTAAGTTTACTTGAAGAACATAATTAGTCAGTTTGTGGAACTACTCTTCTCACCCATCGAAGAGAAAGACCAAATGACTCGGTCCTTTCTCCTGCCACTGCTGCCCAGCTCTTAAGATGGATGTTTTGTCTTAGTCAGGCCAAACCTACAAGGTTACAGCAGGTTCTTCTGCTTCCACTTTAAGTTGCACTACTTCTTTGTGCAGTTAACCCTAAGACATTCATCTCATTTTTTTTGTTTTTCTGATATATATTTTTTTGGCAGCCTGCACGAGGGATCTGAACCCTTCACTTTGGTGTTAGAACACTGCGCTTTAACCCATTGAGCTAACCGGCCAGTGTTTTTTTTTTTTTTGATACTTCTTAATGACCTTTCCCCATCC